GCCTGCTTCGGATTCCGTATCTCCCTCTCTCTCTGCCCCTCCCCTGTTTGCACTCTGTCTCTCGCTGTCTTTCAAAAATGAATAAACCTTAAAAAAAATTAGAAAAAAAAAATAGAGCTGAGGCTTGACCCCCCTTCCCCCTCCTGCACCCAACCCCCCAGGGCCAGCACGGGCCCCGCACCAGCACAAACCAGTAAGGAATATTTATCTTACAGATGGCGACACAGGCATGGTACGGTCCAGTCACTTGCCCAAAGTCACCCGTGGAGCCTGAACCCCCCCCCCACACACACACAGTGGGGCTGTCGGGTCCATGGGAGAGCATCTTGGCTTTTCAGATGAGAAACAGCCTCTGGGGTGGTTGCCCCTTATTTAAGGTTGAAAGAGGCCAAGCAAGGACTGGGACTCACGTCTGTGTTGGTGGAGCCGTGAGGCTGAAGTTCTAAGTCACTAGTGATAGGTGGCGGTGTGTCACATACCGGAATGCCCAGCTGACCTGGCTTGTAATCGGGGAGAACAGCCAGGGAAATGCTGAGTGCGAGCTAAGGCGGTAAAGCCCTAAGGCTGGCTGCCCTCGAGGGTCCCCACCCGGCATCTTCCTCTGAATCAGCTGGCCTTGGTCGCCATGGGCGGGTCGGCCCACCCAGGCTCCCCCATGCCCCATCCTGCTGTGAGCTATGGTCAGACCTGTTCCTAGTTTATAGATCGAAGGGGTGGGCGAGTGCGTGTGCCCAGGGAACAGGTGTCCGAGGCTGTATTTGAACCTCAGTTGTTGGATGTGAAGCCGTGATCTGATCTTTCTGGACTGGCTGGGGACCATCTGGGAAGACTGGCTGCAGGGCGTCGTCATGGCAATCCTTGGGGTCTTGGGGACACTGTGTGTGGCCCTCATTGGGCCTGGGTGGTCCCAAGCTCCCGGCAGCCTGTCCAATTGACTCAGGAATGTGGACTGGGCATCTGTGACCTGCCGGGCCCCCCATCAGGGAGCCACACTCCAGGGGAGGCCAATACTTACTGTGTCATGGAGGAGGAAACCGAGGCACAGAGAGGTCAAGTTATTTGTATATGTTTTCACAGCCAATGAATGGTAGATCCAGGGTTTGAACTGGATCCAGAGTTTGTGTACTTAACTCCAACTTTCAGTTCGAGATACTGTTGCTCTTGGGGGAGGCTCTGTAGGAGGCCCTGGTGAGGCGGTGTCATCGGAGCCCAGACCTGAGCCCCCCCCCCCCGGGGGACAAAAGTGTGGAGACAGTGATCCGGGCAGAGGGAACAAGTGCAAAAAGAACTGGGAGAACTGGGAGGCCTGAACGTTGAGGCAGGGGCTTTGTCGATCGCATGGGGTTGGGAGAAGAATTGGATTTGCTTGATGTACAGAATAAGTCCCACAGTGGGAAGCTGGAGAGACTCTTCAGGTTCCAGGCAGGACCCCAGAGTTGGGGCTCAGGAAAAGGGAGCCTGACGACAGCCTCTTAACACAGGCCACCGTAGCATCTCCTAGGGGCTAGTCTGCTGTCATTCGCTCCCCGCTCCATCCGGCATTGCGTGGGAGCAGAGGCTGGGGAAACATGGACGCCTTGGGAGGGCGGGGCTCGGGTGGGAGGGAGCCCCTCCACCCAGGGCAGGAAGCAGAGCTGAAACCTGAACTGCCTGGAGGGGAGGCTGGGTAGGAGCCAGGAGTCCCAGGGGCGGCCCCGCCTCAGCCCCTCACACCCCACTCGGCTGCACCTGCCCTGCTGGGCAGGGGTGGATGATGTGTGGGGCTCCCTTACAGTCAGGCCCTCCTTCATCCCTACATCCGGGAATTCACTTCCTGGGGGGAGAACAGACGCTGACTCCCACGGTGGGAAGGGCGGGAGGAGAGCTGCAGGGGAGGGCAGTCTCCCCTCTCCCCCATGGACCTGGGCTCAGCCTGCAGGCTCCAGCCTGACTCACCACAGGCAACCGGTTTTGGGCTGCAGGGGGGGGGGCGCAGAGGACACGGGTTGGGGTATAAGCTTAGCTGAGCAGCTTCCTCCCACCCCCGACCCTGTCCTGGTCAGAGCTACTGAGCCCCCAGAGCCGGGAGGACAGCACGGCCAGCCCCCTCTACCCTGTGCTGGGGTTGACCGCCCCCAGCTGCAGAAGGCGTCTGGCCCCTGCAGACCCCGCACCCCGGTGGCACTGAGCCTGCAGACCAGGGGCACCAGGGCAGTCTTACTTGGGGCCTTCCAACGGGGGACCCCGTTCTGAGCCCAGGGAATCCGCCTCCCCCCCCCCGCCCCCCCGCTCCTCGCAGCCAGTAGGGAGAGGCGAGCGTGGCATCTGGGTTCCCCCTCCCCGACCCCCGAGCTCGTTGACCCGAACCTCCCTTTTCCCATCTGTAAAATGGGCGCTTGATACTGTCCTCTCCTCAGAGGGCCACACCAAGGAGCATGTCCCCAAGAAGGGTATGCTCTTGTCATGAAGCTCCGAGTCCCACGTGCCTGTGCCACATTCAGCGATGCGGTGGGAGCGCCCGGGAAGGATTTTAGTCACTGGTTCTGTTTCAACAGAAAACGGCTGGCCTGAGCCAGACACCAGAAACTTCCATCACCTCTGGCCATTCTCACGTGTGCCCTTGGCCCGGGACCCCCACCCCCACCCCCCACCTCCCGCTGCATCCTCGGGCCACCTCCACGCCCCTTCCGTTCGCCAAGCCATTTATGTTCCATTTGTCCCGTTTGCCACGCGGCTGAGCATGAACTCAGTCAATCAACCAATTATCGACCGTCCGTGTGGGGCCCCGACGCTTCCTGTGCGGTCTGTTCAGTTTTCACCCCCAGAGGCATTTTGGAACCTTTCCAAGACAAAAGGCGGAAGGAAGGAAGGAAGTGCCACCCTGTGGACACAGAAAAGATAACAGTCCCTGCCGCTCCCGGTGTCCTGCAGGCATGCGCAGAGCCCCCTACACGGCCTGAGGCTGGGAGGTGGGGGGTTAGCATTGACCCCAGTTTCAACTGGGGAAACTGAGGCTCTAATGGGCCCAAGGTCACCCGTCTCCACCTAGGTGGCCCGACCCAGTGTGTTCTCCTTCCCAGCTCAACTGGGTCGCCTGCTCCCAGCCCGTTCCTTCCTGCCTTCCCTTTGCCCTGGGAGACAGGGAACCCCGATCCCGAGGCCCTGCTGAGTTCAGCCAGTGGGGGGCGCTGGCGGGAGAGGGCGCCGGGAGGAGGGGAGACGCCGACTCCCTTTTTCTGCCGTAGACAGTGTCTCCTGGGACACTCCCACCAGCTTCCCTCCCGGGTTCCAGTAACACCAGCCCCACCTTACACTGTTGCTCATTTCTGGCTATCTCATTGTTCTCTTGTTTGGTCTTTATTTTTTAATTTTAGAGAGAGCTCAAGAGCGCTACTGGGGTAGAGGGGCAGAGGGGGAGAGAGAGAGAGAGAGAGAGAGAGAGAGAGAGAGAGAGAGAGAATCTTAAGCAGGCTCCGTGCTCAGCATGGAGCCTGACATGGGGCTCGATCTCACCACCCTGGGATCATGACCTGAGCTGAAATCAAGAGTCAGAGGCTCAACTGACTGAGCCGCCCAGGCGCCCTCCCAGTTTCGTGTTCAAAAAAAAAAAATGATCATTTAGTATTATTTTAAATGGTGTCCCAATACATATAAACATCACATTTGCCATCTTACCCCTGTTTAAGTGTCCAATTCAGGGGCATCAAGTATGTTACCATGGCTGGCATCCCCACCACGCGTCTCCAGAACTTTCAGCTCTTCTCAAGCTCTGTCCCCATGAGACACTAACTCCCCAGCCCCTGGCTCCCACCATCTACTTCCTGTCTCTACGGATGGGACTCCTCTAGGGACCTGGACTGGAACCCTAATCGCGCGAGGTGGCCTGTCATTACGGCTTGCCCCATTTGGTCTGTTATACTTGGTTCCCGGGATTAAGTTCCATCCATTGACCTGCTGTGCTCCTGACTGTACCCCAGCTGCTACGTCTAGACTGTGGTTTGACTTGCCATGTTCAAGGACAGGGGCCCTAATTGCCTCCGGGTCCAGACTCCGGTAAAGCCTGGGTGCACGAGAGAATGGGGGTGCGTGTACCTGGACGCCCACAGCTCTAGCCAGATGTCGCCACAGTGGAATTTGAGGGCAGATTCGCTGGAACTCACGGTTATTTGGATTTGTGTTATGAAATCTCTTGCTTTACATCTTTTAAAATTTTTTTAAATATTTATTTTTGAGAGAGAGCATGAGCGGGGGTTGAAGCAGAGAGAGAGGGAGACAGAGAATCCGAAGGAGGCTCCGGGCTCTGAGCTGTCAGCACGGGGCCCGACGCAGGGCTTGAACTCACAGACTGTGAGATCATGACCTGAGCTGAAGTCAGAGGCTTAAGGGATTGAGTCACCCGCGCACCCCCTCTTGGTTTGTATCTTAGCAACTAATTAGGTGGGTGTTTAGCCTTGGTCTCCTCCTGTAAGAAAACTTACACCAAACCACCCCCGGATCACTCGTGTTGATCGAGCGAAGTGCGAAGGTCTCAGCCCCGGACACTCTTCCCCTCATTTGTGCTTCTGGATTCAGCTCAAGTGTCACCTCCTGAGAGAATCCTTCCCCGGACTCCCCCCGCCGGTCACGTCTCTCTCCCTGTTACCCTGTTTAACATCCTTCCAAACTAATGTCGTCAGCCTCCATTTCCCCTTCTAAGCTGTCAGCTCCTTGAGGGCAGACTCTTCTCTTTTAGTCACTGCAGTGGATAAAATAAAAAGGCCCTCGCCTGTATCACAGCCGCCCAGATGTAGTTCAGTGGGACGAGCGTGCAGACTTAGCAAAAAGTCCCAACTCGGGGAAGCGCCCCGGAGCCCGCAGCCTGTCCTGAGCTCTCGGGAATGTTCCCTTTCCAGAACCGCCTCCTGGGAAAGTCCCGCCCATGTCCAGATGGAGGAGCCCAGACAAGGAGGGGAAAAAGAGCATTCCAGGAGGAGCCAAGCGGTTCAGTTAAGAAATTTAATCGATCACAGTAAGACATTCAGGCTATAAAAACGTTCTATACAGTGGTTGTAAAAAGCGGTACCCATCCCCCAAAACAACCCAACACGGACCCATTTCTCCTGAAGGGCTTCGCGCGAAGCCCGCACGAATCATCTTTGTACAAAAGTTAAGAGGCGTCTCAGAGACAACTTCCCCCCAATGCAGAGCCCCCAGAGGGGTCACAGATGCAGCAACCAGGGTTTGCAAAAATAAATAGATCTCTGTTTCATATATATAAGTGATAAATGTCTAAAGAATATACAAAGTGCAAACGTAACAAAAAGCGCACCCCCCCCGCCCCCGCATCTGTACAGCAGTTTATTTACATGCTTCCGAAGGAGAAAAGGCTTTCACAGTTTCCTGCAGAGTAGGACGCAGTGCTTAGTGGTCATGCAGTGAACGTGGACACTCCCTGGACGACTTTAGGCAGGAATCCACAAGAGGCTCGCACTTCTTTCTTTGGTGGTGAGTGTGACATGTGTGATAGGATCAGAAAGTTTGGTTTCCGAAGTCCCATAAGAATGGCCAAGCCCAGGGGATGCCTTGCAGGGCTAAAGCGAACCGTCTTCTCGCGGGGAAATTAACGGCCCAGGGGCATCTGCACAGAAGCGGCCACACGAGCCGGAGAGTCGTGATTGTGACTTTTGATGGGGCGGGGGAGGGAGGCCCCAGACAGCAGGCTCATCCGCACGGACCCCTCCCACCCGGAACAGAAACCAGTGCAAAATAGTAAGAACGTCGACTTGACGCAGGATACGGCCCCGAACGAAAAAAGTGCAAGGGGACCTGGAAGGAGCTGGGGTCCAGACAGCCACACCCAGAGTGATGGGTGCTCTTAGAGGTTGGCGGCCGCTGCCTTCACGCCTCGGGTAACGGGGTAGCTCAGGCACTTAATAAATATTAAGGACGATCGGTGGCTCGGGCTCTCTCTGGGAGCTGTCGCGGTTTCGGCGAATGGAGGCCCCCCCCACCCCGGGATGCTGCACTTGGCCAGAGCCACAGCGACGCCAGAGTCCCGGCGTCAAGGGAGGGCACGAACCTCGCTGGGGAAACCCTAGTTTGATCCAGATCTGGGGGGAGCAGAGCAAAAGCTAACTCTGGCCGTCCAGCAAGGCAGGGGTGAACGCACTTACTCCTGAGTTTGGGGGCTCGGGCTAGAGAGGCGGGGGTCCGGCAGCTACCCAGGACCCCGGGGGTAGTGCCTGCTCTCGCGGTTCAAAGCCATGTGCCGCCTCTCCCCCTGTGCTCCTCCGTCAGTGCGTCGGGAGGGGGGGGAGAAGTGAGCGGTCCCCGGAGGGGACAGAGATGTCCCCCCAGCTCCTTTGGCCTGCTCTTCTCCGCTATTCCTAGAGAAAGAAAGAAAGAAAAAAACCCAACCCCAACCCGTTGCGTGTGCGCCGTCGGAAGCCTGTTCTGCCTCCCAGAAGAATAAATATATAAAACAAAGCTCTGGCAGGCAGGCCAAGCGGCTGCCGGCGCTGAGGCTGTGGCCACCAACAGTGCTTTCGGTCACTTCTTTCTTTGCAGGGACCAGGAGGAAGGGTGTGGCGCGGGTCAAGGGTCCTGGGAGAAAGTGTTCTTCCTGCCCGCGTCGGGCAGCAGGTTCCGGGGAAGCACAGGACTCAAGGCGGCGGCTCAGGCCACATCGTCCTCCAGGCTGACCATCTGTCTCTGTCAACAGAAAGATAAACGCCGGAAGCGATCAGTCCAACATTCGGTAAACATGGCAAGAGGCCACCTACGCCTCCTCGCTCCCTCCCGGCCCCACCCCGCGGCCAGCCCGGCCCATCTCGGGCCTGAACCAGCACACCGGGTTCCACCCTGGGCTCCGGGCTCCCGACCTGGGGCTCGGTCTTTCCTCCCACAGCCAGGGGAGGGCGCCTGTGAGCCCCGAGCCAGGTCAAGTCCCTCCTCTGCTCGGAACCCTCCGTGGCTCCTACCTTCTAAGAGCAAAGCCAGAATCCTCCCCATGGCCCACGAGGCCCTGCTCCGTCTGCCATGGTCCCTGTCACTCGGCTCCTCCCTCGACAGCCCCCAAGCCCCCCGCTCTGGCCACCTCTGCGTTCCTCAGGCACACCAGCCTGCTCGAGGGCTGTCCCTGCACAGGGAGACCTGCCCCAGCCTCCTTATCTAAAATCGCACTCCCTCCCTCCCTCCCGGCCCCCACTGGCTTTCTTGTTTTCTTTCCTCTCCCGATCCCCTGTCCCCCTGCCGGTCCCCCACCACTGGAGCATCCCGGAGGACCTCACAGCCTTGCAGGGAGGAAGGGGGCCTCCGGGGCGGCGCAGGGCACCCACCGAAGGGTAGGTGTAGCCGTCCTGGCTGCAGCAGATGTGGACCTCGTCCTCCGTGGTCTTCTGGTACACGGGGTTGTCAAAGTTGATGCTGTTGATGCTTTTCAGCCGCCAGTTCTTCCAGAGAAGGAAGGTCCCGAAGCCCAGGAGGATGAGCAGCACTGCAGGGCGAGGTGGCCCAGCCCGGTCAGCAGGTGGCCCCAGAGCCCTACGTCCCCAAGTGATGCCGCCTGCAGACTCCTGGCTTCGGACTTCTATAGGGTTTTTTTTTGTTCCAATTTCAAGCCATACTTGTCCACTGCGGGGTCGGGGGGGTGGGGAACCTATCCATACACATGACCAATCTCTAACTCGAAGCCCGCTGTGACTGGCTCGCCCCGGAAATACCCGACCGCAGTCGATTCTTCCAGGTGCTTCTGAGTCATGGGGCTCTTTCAGAAATGGGACTGTTCTCTATGGACACGGCCAAACTCATTCTCTTCTCCATCTGGGTGCTCTCTGCCTCATTTATGAGGGGACCCCTGGGTGGTGCACCCTGCCCCTCCCAGATCCAGGGGACAACCAAGGGCTCACCCAGCCAGGTTTGTAAAAAAAAACAAAAACAAAACCTGGCCACTGCCCAGGGCGTGGGACAGCTTCAGGCTCTGCTGGGAGGACACAGGGTGGGGGCCTTGTTCGGGAGGCAAGGGTCCCACTGCCACCTGTCAACTCAGAGCCAGACGGCCACTGGGCACTAAAGTGCAGGTCCTGTGAGTGGGCTGGGGGTGGGGAAGGGACACCTCGGAAAGATTTCCTTAGAAAAGGAAAATCAGGTGTGATGCTAACGGAGTTACGATGGACAGGGATGGGAGGGTGTAGAACCCCCCAAACTCCCCCTACAAGAGCAGCGTTTGCCAGGAGGCGCCCCTCCGGTGGCGGGAGGCTTTCCCTGCAGCCCCTTTCCCGCAGCTGACCCAGCGGCGGGGACAGCTGCGGCCCCACGGCCCAGAAGCGGCCTTACAGCAGGCGCTCGACCGGATTTGTTGAGTGAATGGAGCTACAAAGGGGGCCGCAGTGATGAACAGGGCACGTGGGCGTGGGGGGGGGCGCCCCCATCCTGTGCGTACAGGTGGACCCGACCGGCTGGCTGGGCAGGGCGGTCCTCTGGCGGGGAGCGGGGAAGTGGGGCAGGCCCGATGGGCTTACCGATGGGGAGGATGACGTACAGGGCCCCCACGCTCCTCGGTCTCTCCTCGTCTCCTCTGCTGGCAGCGTCGCCCAGGGCTGCTCGGGAGAGGGGAGAAAGTGAGGCTCGGCTCCACAGCGAGGGCCACGGAAAACGCGGCAGGTGTGCGGCCGCCAACACGCGCGAGAAAAACGCCTGGTGCTGCTCGGCGTCCTTAAAAGCTCAAAGCGACTTGGAGGGACTCCCGGGTTTGGGAGGCACCACGCTGGGGCCTTATTCATTAGCAGACACGGTTATGGAGCAGATTTAAGAGGGCCCTTCAGCCAAGCGTTACGAGGCTCTGGGAAAGGGGCCAACGGTCTGGGAGGCAAAAGCCTGCAGGTACGTTCTCAACAGTTGGTGAGGTCGCTGGTGGAATTTTTCACCCTGGGTCTGCATTTGATGGAAATGAGACCGTTCTGGGTGGGGCAGCGGCCACCACGTGACTCCATACCGTGCAGCAACCCCAATGCCTGGCTTGGATCGCGCCGAAGCGCCCTAGTCCTGTCTCAACTGTCCCCAGTTAATAAATATTGGGGGAGACCTCGTTACGCAACCATGAATGTGCACCTGAGCCCTGTAAGGGCCCCGTGCAAATCAAAGTTTAAAGTCCTTCAAGCAGGCAAACAGGCTGGGAAGACTGAAAGGCCACACCTGGGTCACATGTACGTAGGTCACCAGTTAAAGTCAACCCCACCTGGGTGCATGGAATTTCTACTTTGACATCGGCTCAGATTTAAGAAAACTTTTAACAAAAATAACTTAAGGTGGGATGCCCGGGTGGCTCAGTCGGTTAAGCATCCGACTCTTGATCTCGGCTCAGGTCATGGCCTCATGGTTCATGAGACTGAGCAGAGAGCCTGCCTGGGATTCTCTCTCCTTCTCTCTTTGCACCTCCCCCTCAAAGTAAATAAATAAATAAACATTAAAATAAATAAATAAATAAATAAATAAATAAATAAATAAATAAATAAATAA